TGTGTGTGTGTGTGTGTGTGTGTATATCTCCAACTATTTCAACCCATAGAAGCATGACAGCTGTGAAAAAGGAGTGCCTCAGGGAATTCTTTTAGAGTTTGATTTTTTTAAAAATATGTTTGACATGGAAAATGTTTTAGTACAAATAAAGCAACTGGTATTGAACTTAAAAAGTGGGGAGGGGAGGGGGAGAGGGAGGGAGGGAATAGATTGCCGTGTGGAACAGGAATGAATAATTCATGATATTTAAAGAGAGAATGCCTCCGAAATGTTCTGCAAGGCCATCCGTGCTGATAGCTTGAATCGTTATTTTTCCCCCATTTAAAGCATCATTAATTCAACATCTTTGTGATTTTTTTAAAAAAACCTGGTAAGATATTTACCAAAGAAACATTATTTAACTTAGATTAGGATATTTCTTGTTCAGATAATTTAGTTTAGATATGAAGGAGATAAGCAGAATTACTTAGCCATAAAAAGACAGCTCAGTTCTATCAGAAAATAATTTAGTTGTTTTTTTGTTTTTGTTTTGTGTTTTTTTTTAAACACTGGAAACTAAAATCAACCTCATGGAAGGGGAAAAATAAGATCAGATATTTTGAACATTACTCCGTAGGATACCAGTACAATATAGTGTTAGTGAACGCATTGTAGCAGAGCTCCATATGCAATCAGAAGCCAATTGTTACTGGACTGTGTACAAGCACATACTGTGCTCAATGGTCTGATGAGGTATTATGGATATGATGCAAAGAGACCTTGTGGATTAGAAACTCACAATTTGTTAAAAAAGTGAAATAACATTGGCGTGGAGCAAGCTGAGTACAGTAGCACTTCAGGTGGTAAACAGGGGGAGTTCCAAGGAATCTAGTGAAGGCTTTGTGTAATCATGTATATCTAGGGAAGAAAAAAACCCAACCCTTGGAATGATTATATTATTCTGGATCCCTTTGTGCAGTGTCTTCATTATTGCAGTCTACTTTCAGTGTGCAAAAGTTTGTGCAAAACAGCTTGATTATTATAAATGTCAAAAATGTGCAGAGGAGTAGCCTATTAAAATATAGCCTAGAGATAGTACATAATACTGACTTTAAATAAGAAGCCAGAGCCAAAGTGATACTTCATTAAATCATGGTTATTGTGTAATTTATCCATCACTGTATTAATTTTTATATTACAGGTTCTACTGTTAGACTACGTTCCTTGCCAGTATTCTTTCATTCTTTACATTGTCTAAGTCTGTTAACAGCACTGTATGACAGGGACCACTGCAATGGCTTGGAAGTGGGAATGCCTATAGTATGTATTATGACATACTACCAGGCTGCTACACTTGTTTCAGACTGACTGTAGGTCTGATTGTGTGGCATATTAATTATCCTACTAGTGCAGAATACACAACTCTTCATGTGACTATCTAATGAGGGTGATCGGCACATTCCTGGCTGAAGCCCTAAAAATGTTATTTAGAAATTTAATTTTGTGTTGTTTGTATGTTGTGGGCTTTTTCTTCTATCATATATCCATTATGATTAAAAACACCTTCCACCTGGGCATCTCAAGGCACTTTATGAGGTTCATTTGATACTCAGGGCACCCTAGTGTAATGAGGAAGTTTTTGTTGTCTGCATCTTATAACAGATAAACCTGAGGCATGGAGAAGTTTATGGACATGCCCCAAATCCTTCATTGAGTCAGAAGACGACCAGGAAATAGAACACAAAAAGCCTGATTCTAAGCAGAACTGAACAACCCCCTCTCCCATTAACTTTTAGTGGATGCTCAGTACTTCACAGAATTGAGCCTCAACATCAGGAACTAGATAAAATATTTCAAACTGCTTTTTTTAAAGCTATTTAGCTTTACCATAAACAGTGATATGTTTATGATGTGTAATAGAGTGTACATGCTTGAATAGCACATTTATTTTTTAATGAAAATCATGAGGATCACATTTATGTTTTGCCAGTTTGCCTACCAGCTATCTGCTAACAAAAAGTTCCAAGGTAGCACGACAAGTCTGTGCCCAGCTAAGCCTTTTGTTTTTGCAGATGTTTAGGCTTAGAGCAGGGTTGTAGAGCACAGGCAATACTAGGTCCATGTTTGCACTTGTCTGCTGCTATTCTCTGCTCATTGTCTAAACATGCATGCATTGTTCTTCTCGACAGGTGATAACTACCCTGTGCAGTTCATTCCATCAACAATGGCAGCTGCTGCTGCTTCTGGACTCAGCCCTTTACAGCTCCAGGTATGTGCCAGAACAAAAAAAATGTGGGATAGAAGCCAACACTTTAGAGGAAAACTGCTAGCCAGCTGTATGCTAAATAATGGTCTGAATGTTAAATAATTTTTTAAGCATAACCCAGAAGGATTAACACCTTATATACTTATGGTGCTGCAAATAGAACAGCATGCTGCCAACTCTAATAATGCAAAAGAAAGACAAAATTATTATGATATTGTACATTGTATTATAGATCAACAGAGTTCCTAATTTCTTTAAATTATAAGATAAGTCAGCACAAGTTACATTCAGAGGCCTTTCCTGCTTCATTTTCTTTCAGCTTTCTCCCTCGAAGTGTAGTGTATATCTGAATAAATGTACTTGGTTTTTACTTTTTCTTTGATGGTATAGGGATGAGTGTATCATAAATTGCAAACTTTCAGCTTCTATTTTTATGTAATCTCATCCTTTCCATGTATTGAGCTAGTCAGATGCCAGGCACAGTCAGGAGTCTGAACTTAGTCAGTGACCAGTCATTTATTTATTTTCAACATATATAGGACTATATATTGTGTGAAAATGATTTACACATTAAATTACTAGCTGTTTTTCATTCAGCTAGAGTATTAATTTCACAAGAAGAGATGCAGAAATACCTTAAATAATGAAGCAGCAGTCAAAGGCTTTCAGAGTTAAAATGTGCAGAAAGCGAGCAATAGTGAACATGAGAGGAAAGTCTATTAAAGATGCATGTGACTATTTGCAAGTAAACCTTTGAATCTCTCTTTTGCTTAGGTTTGAGTTAGGTTTAGATGCAAAGGAAAGATAAATTGTGACTAAAATAGCAAGGTAATTCCAGATGAATTTACACACAGGTATTTTACTTAACATTTTTCTGTGCTACAGCTTTTTTTAATTGAAAAGGATAAAAGGTAATATCCTCAGATCCCCCATCATCTCATCTTCCAGCTGGCCTAAGTAGGCAATTGGGAAATCTTCTTATACATAGAAATCCCCAGGTGATGTTAAGCTGGAATGGCCCACTTTATTCCAGCAGCTCTTGAGCCCCAAGTGTACTGGGCATTAGAGTTTGGCCAGATTTCCCAATGCTTTGTCAGTCCAGAGATGCAAGAAGAGAATTTACCCTTGTGGCTGGCCTGACCCCTGGCTACCTCCTGAATCAGAAGATGGAAAAGTTGCAGAAAGCCACTCCCTATGATTGTAGACCTTCATCAAGCAAATCTTTCAGTAAAATAAGTTTTAAAATAAGTTGTGTCCGAGGGATATCAATATAGTACTCCTGTCACCCTGAAGACCTGACACAGCTTTTACTTAAGGGGGGCATTTTCAAAGACACAAATAACAGGTCAGTATCCAACATCAATTTGTTATTTTTGAACATCTATAGCTTAGTATTTGTTTAAAGAAACATCCCATTGACTTTAGCTGTGACAGGACTTTAGGATTCAGTTTTGTAGAAACCATTTTTGGGACCTAACATAGCAGCTACTGAGCACCTAGCAACACTGCTCAGAACTGTGGGGCAGGAAGGGGATAGAAGTTGCATCTACATGAAACTGAAATAAGAGCTGGAAACATAGACCATCTCATTTCTTTCACAAGATGTAGCTGTAAGAAAAGTCTTCAGCCCAACATGTTAATAGGGCCATCACCCTGACCTTAGAAATACAATAAGCCTTCATTAATTGGCACTAATGACTGGCAAAACCAATGAAAATTAGTAAATTATGCAAATTAGTGAGAATGAGAAAGCATTTACCATAAAATGTGCAGTATGCGTTTATTTAAAATAGTTCAATAGGAAACAACTGAAACAGTTCAATCAGTGTTAGTGTCATGGACAAGCACTTGACTGTTAAGAGGTGAGCAAAGGGAGAATTTCCCTTCAGATGACACTATTTTGTTTCCCTTTTTTTCTTATTTGAAGTTCACCTGCTGGAATTTCAGTTTCATCTTAACTGTACATCTTAAATAGACATAACAGCATAAATCAGTGCTTCTCAAACCACCTAGACTCAAGGCACCCCTCAGAAAAATCTGGCTTTTAGCTTTCTCTAGTTTCTTGACTATGGCAAAATAAGAGAGCCATTCTTTTGTTGCAAAGATCTCAGAAAGACCACAGAAGGTCAAAATGTTTTGACACTATGGATTCTGATTCTAAACCTATAAGTTATCTTGTAAATTGTGTGGGGGTCTTTGCACATATAACAGTGCTAATATTGCATGGTACCCTCTCCCTGCATCCCTTCCCATCCCTTCAAAGGCTCTCATGACACTGCTTGAGAGCCACGGGAATATAACTAGGTACACATACATATGTGTAGATACAGATACACATACTAGATACAACTAATACAACTAAAGGAACATGCTTATTTGAATAAGAAATTTACTTGTGATGAATTCAACTTCTTCCCAATATTCTCACTTTACAGTTTCAGTTACATACCTAGATGTTACAGTGTTTGAATGCTACTCAGTTTTGGGGGAGAGTACATGATGGAGTGGATTTTCCTTGATCAGGCATTAATGGTGCTAGAGAGGAAGTTGATTTTCATTGGATTTTCCAATCTTTTCCTCTCACCAATCTCCTCCTCTTCTTTCCTCTACCCACACACCAGTTTTCTTACTTCAAGTGCAGTTTGCAAGAGTTGCAAAACATTGGAATGTTGTGGTGTATTAAAGTTAGTACATGTTAAAGCATGTTAAAATAAAGGGAGCAATTTTGCAATTCCTTGATGTCCTTTAACACATACTAACCTTTCTGAATGTGCATTTTCTTCTGTTTTTAACTGTACTAAGTGTTAAGTTGAATGTGTGACACAGTCGTTATTTACATAGTTCTCATGAACGATTCCCATGTGCTTAAAAATATTAATCATAATGCTAATCTCTGTCCCTTTCATGCTTCCTAGTCTGTAAAGAAAAAATAGCTTGCTTGCTTAGTTTATATACATGGTTTTGTTTTGTTTGTGTGCAAGTGGGTGTGTGGTATCTGTGTGTGAAGAACTCCAGGAAAGTTATTTTGAGGAAATGACTTATGTATTAATACTGACATGTATCGGCCTGTAGTCATTCTGACTGCTTGCAGGAATATATTTGACCATCCAGATCCAGCTCCTATGAAGGGCTTTATCTTTACCGTATCTTCCCCTTGTTGGTAAATAGCTTTAGTTTTTCAGAAAAATATTGTTGATGTGCGAGGTCACATTTGAGGAGGGATCGGCAATGTTGTGCCCTTCCATTAATACAAGGAGAGTTTATTTCACACAAACTATTATTCTGAACTTTTCTTCCAACTAAAAACACACAAAGAACACCCCTGTATGCAGTACGTAGGTCTCTGTTCTCATCCACATTCAGAGCCCTGCATTGTGACAGTTTGAACACTCCAGGCTCATCACATAACAATAATAACTGTTCTGCATAGATGGTATGCCTATAATGGAGTGTTTTAACTAGCTGATTGGCAAGATAAGTCAAGGTAAGTAGAGCACTTGTAAAGGCCAGTGTAGACCCTCACCACACATTTTTTGCCAGACCATGAACATTTATGCTCTTCTAGGGGTTTTTTATTACCCTCAGTTAAAAACTATTAAAAAGAAACAGGGCCGGTAATTTTTCTTCTGACTAAACCAACTCTCTGAGTTTTGGATGTACTTGGAAACAGACTGCCCTTAACTAGTGTTAGTCATCAGTTGCACATTCAGGATTAACACCTTCTCTAATGTGCATTGCTCAGACCAGCAGCTAGAGGGCTGGTGAGTAGGAGCATGGCTAGTGGCATCAGGTCTGCTCCATGACTTCCCTGCTTGCCACCTCTAGCCACAGTAGAGGCTGGGAAGGAGAGAGGGAAGGATTTCCCTCCCCCCCAGTGCTGCTTAAATTGCCCCCTCCACTTTCCAGATTCCCTGCTGTCCCCCATCAGCCTCCAGATCCCCCCTCCACCCGTCAATCCTTTACCCCTGGATCCCCCCTTCCTTGATTTGCACTCCCCTCTACCCGTAGGTCATTGCTTTACCATTTCAGTCATCCCATTAACAGAGGCAGTGGGGTGGGGCAGGCCCCTCCCACTCCCTGCCTACTCCTAGACTTCCTGCAGCCCATGTCACCCCATGCATGCAAATCCAGCCCCCACTGGGCCCTGTAGCTTCCTGGCAGCTCCTTGGTCCCCTCCTCCCCCCCTGTCTCCCTTTCAGCTGCAGAGCCTGGAAGGGGCTAGATCTGGGCATGGTGGGGCAGCATGGTCTGCAGGCACCCTATGAGCAGGCAGGGAGGAAACCCCTGCACTGGCACCTCTGGCACTCTGGGGCTGATAGGGGCAGCAGAGCAGTGATCCGGGGGGTGGGAGGGCTGTGTGTTTCAGGGAAGTCATCTGGGGGTGGAGGGGGTGATTTGAGCGTCAGGCAAAATTTGGGGGCAGAGGAGTCAGAAGCCCATCTCCTAACCCACCCCTCTCCCACTTCCCCCTAGTCCATCCCCCTTCCACCCTCTAATCTTTAGCATTTGTTAATGAGCCTTAATGTGTGATCATTCAAGTTTTAAGTGCTCTTAACATGATCTAATTGTAATGTGTAATTTCACCCTAAGGTAGTCATATGCTATATAGAGAGCTATGAATATCATTATGGGGACCTGAAACTGAAATGGCCATGTGTTCAAGGCAGGCAGGTGGGATACTGTCTTTTAGACTCGTGTTACTTAGCTTCTCTTCACCCAGATGCTGATCTTAAGACGACATGGAGAAATATGGTGCTAGAACTGATAAAAAAAAAGTTGTGCAACTTTGCACCATAACATTTCAACACATGTTGAAGCCTCATAGGCTTTCCAACAGCTTCAAAGAAATGTTGGAAAGTACAGGATTAAGGATCAAGTCTTGTTGAGTGAGGGCTTTGGAGGTGAAGGAATAGCTAGCTACTTGTAGGTTTTGTTTAAAATGAAAGGCCTTTGCCATTTCAAAATGTTTCTGTTCAGTTCTGCTGCTTCACACAACTGAGAGT